TCCCTCTCTATAGAGATTGCTTTTTAAATTGCTTTTTAAATTAAGAGGAGCATGAAGAGAGTGCTGATGGATTATTGCTTATTGAATATAAAGGATTCCATGATTATATCACGATACTCAACAAAAAAGAAAGAGAAAAGAAAAATTCCTCTAAAGGAGACATAAGAATGCCAGTGAAAAAATACAGAAAAAATAGAATTAGAGAATCACTATTTGCAGCAAGTATTACCAATGCCTACTAAATCCACTGGGTGGAAGATTTTGGGATATCAAGTTATTCTGCTAGTCCCAGAATAACTTTTACAGATTACAAAGAAGATGCATCCTAAGAAAGCGTATATTTGGAAGACATCACCATAATCAATTATCAGTCATAACACTGCTGGTAAGGGGACAAGCTATCAAGAACATGGCACAATCACTCATGTGGTACTCTTGCCAATACTGTCTAATCTGAATTCATTCATGAGGGAACAATTAGAAAAACCCAAATGTAAGATGTTCTATAAAATAACTGATTTGGAACTTTCAGAAGTGTTAATGTCATGAAAGACACAAACAGCTGTACCAAGGTTCAAGTATAGGAGCCTGAAGAGAAATGATAACCAAATGCAATGTGTAATCTTTGATTGTGTTCTACATTTTTAAAAATCAGGAGAAATGACATTACTGAGGACACCAGGAACACTTAACCATGGACTTTACATTAGACATCACTATATTATTGCTAAATATCTTGAAGGGTTATGTAGGAAGATGTCCCTGCATTTAGGAGATACATGCTGTGGCATTTAGGAGTAGAACTTCATTAATGTCTGCATCTTACTTTCAAATGGTTCAGGAAAAGAGGCATATATGCATGAATAAATAGAGCACATATAACCAAATGAGAACAATTCATGTATGCAGGTGCAGGATATGTGGGCATTCCTTATATATTTTATTCTTGTAAATTTTCTATAAATTTGAAATTACTTAGATAAAAAGTTGTGGAGAAAACTTGTAAAGAAACTCCTGAGTGAATCTTTCGTAAAAAGTTATTCCATTACCCAAATAACATGATGCCAAACTCAATTACTTAACCTTACAAGAATAAACAATTTACATCTAAAATTAATTCCATAGCCCTTTGGGCTGGTCAAGTTTCCCTGTAAAGAACCAGACAGCATACATTTTAGGGTTTTGTGAGGCATATATTTGCTCTTGTTTTATTTAATTTTGTTTACAACCCTTTAAAAATGTAAAAGCCATTCCTGGCAAGAAGGCCAGTACAAAAATGGGCCAAAGGCCATAATTTGCCAACCTCTTATCTAGATGTAATTCCACAGAGTTCTATCTAAACAATAACATCATTCAGGAAAAATGGCAGAGACTCTCTTTCTGGAATTATCTCTAGACAATCTAGTTCGGGTGAGGTGGTAGAAGGCAATCCTCAGCCACTTCCTCCTGGCAGCAGCTTCTTTAGGAACTGGCTATCTTTAGTATATTTTTTACCCTTAAGTCCTCAAGACCACAGTGCAGTATTTGGTTAATATTTCTAACAGCATGACACTTGTCATATGTTTGCATTTCTGTCACATCGTGCTCTGACCTTTTATTAAACTCTCAGCAGAGGGTTCACATCATTTGAGCATTACATGGACAACTTTCACTTTACTGACTTAGCAGAAATAACAGGAAGAGTGAGTACTGAGAGAAAAGCATTTATTATAATTCTGTGAGGCACATGTTGGCTATGTTAGACTTCCTATTATTTACTGTAAGTTATATATTGATGCATAAGTGCCACACACAGTACAGGGTCACATATACAAAGCCATGCAATCAAAGATCTCCCAGGGAGGTTCTGATGCACTTATTTCCCATCTCACATGCAGCCTGGAGGTGCCCGTCTTCTCTCTTCTGTCTCCAGTCATTACCCAGGTGCCCTGCTCTCCTTTACCTCCATTAGGTTTTGAGGAAAACCGAAAGCCCTGCATCCTCTGCAGCCCACAGCCTGCTCTCCTTCAGCTCTCCTGCACCCTCACTCATAGCAACCTGACTTCTCATCTCAACAGGGACCACCACGCCCTTGATGCTCACATTTTCCCCGGAACAGCAACTCCATGCCGTCTTCTTCCCCCTCTGCCCTGCGGAGACGCGATGTTTTTTCCTGTGCACTGCCCTCTCCCCATACTCTTAGTTTTGTGGCACACATCTCTCACTCCACCCCCACTCCTCAACCTCTTGCTTTTCTCTCTCATAAAAACCCAATTCTAGAAACAGGACGGGAGCCAAAGCTATGGAATTAAATCTTTCTTATTTGTGTGACCTTAGCCAAGTTATCTAATCCTCTGTGCCTCAGTTCCTTCCTCTGTAAAATGGGTTTAACAATAGCACCTTCCAGGCTACGGGGAAGTTTGAATCCAGGCTAATAAAAGGGAGGCCAGAAGCTAGACTCAGAAAATACCTTTCTGTTTGATAAGAGCTAGGAGATGTTTTCAGACTCAAAAACAACCCAAGGCATTGGGTGAGCAATGAGCATGGGGTCTGGACACAGTTGCAACAAACACTGTCAGTGGATCCAACCTGGATGAAAAGATGACAGAAAAGTAAACACCCACTAAATACTGCCTGTGGATTTGCCAGTGGGTCATGCAAGGCACCAAAGGAGCTTCTATTTTGAATAACACAGAGCTGGAATCTTCTGAATAGATTTTTTTTAAAGAATGCTATGTAGTATGAAAACCCCACTCTAAGGAGAGCTGAACTGTTAAATTTAAAACTTTGAAATTACTCAGTTCTTATGTCTCAATGCTGCAGTACAGGTGGGAGCTATGAGGTAGAACTCCTCCTTCAGCAGCATCCACTGAACTCTAACATACCAGGAAGTCTGATCCCCCATGGTTAGAGGACCTAGGCAATAACTCACTTGTCTTGGGTTTTGTCCTCGTACCCAGACAGCGTGTCCTCCAGGTGACCCAGCGTCCTCAGCTTCATCGTCAGGCTGTCAGCAGTCCAAGTCCTTTCTTTATCTCAAGAAGCTCCTGACCATCATGGGTGACTGTATCATTCTCACCACGTACTTCCTAATCACAGCCTAAATCTAAACCCCACATTTCCATCCCAACAGCCTAGCATTTACTACTGTGTGTGTAAAAGGCCCATTCATGGGTAGTGCCCCTGTACACACAGGGAGACTCTAGCCTCTAACTTGGCATCTTTGGTCAGGAAAGAAGACACATTTTGTGTGTAAATTCCTCTGGATCCATGGCTTTGTCTTCAAGTGAATCCAAAGCCAGGTAGGCAATAATCACCCCAGACAGATTTATTAATAGGAATATAGTGGAAAGGTAGATGCCTACAAGAATCTGTGGAATAAACAGGTGAATCAAAACTGGTACCAAAGATCTACTTGATCTGAGATCTGACAGCATGGCCAAATAAATGAGATCAGCTCCCGGCAGTCTGTTGTCAGGAGAGAGCTGAGCCCAGAAGCATCAGAGGAAAAACACAGAATGGAAGCCTTTGAAGCCTCACCTATGGTCAGGAGGTGCTGAGCTAATTACAGCTTACCTCCAGGTGGGCTCTGATCTGCACATAGAGGGCAGAGAGGAGCTGAGGAAGAACAGTAGGAGAAGTGTGGGAGACTCCATAGAAACAGGATGTGCACACAGCAGTTGGAGGACAGCAATTTTTCTTTGAACAATAAAAGGCAGTGGAAAGGTAGGGAAAATGCTGACATGGACAGTGTTGAAAAGTTCTGCAAAATAAACATTTATAAAGCACGGTACATTCTTTCAAAATACTGTACCCATTATTCTGTTGATGTTCACAAAAAGCCTGTGAAATGGAGTACAGATTTATTATCACCATTTAAGGAAAAAGAAGATACTCAAGAAGGTTAAAGACTTGAGAGGGGAAGTAAGGGCTCGAGATTTCAGTTTTCAGGCTCTAAAATCCGTGCTTTTCCGTCTACATCAAACCAATAACCAAATTTTCATCAAAATAAATCCATTCTGCAATTCCATTTATGTAAGGTTGAAGAGAAGGTGAAAGAACTGCGATGGTGAAAGAAATCAGAACAGCTTATCTCCGGGGCGTTGAGACTCAACAGGAAGGGCTATGAAGAGCATTGTTTTACATCTTCATTAGGGTGTAAGTTGCACACACGTATACATTTTTGAAAATCCATCAAGTCACACATAATTAGGAGCAACATATTTCACTGTATGTACATCTAAATAAAGCAAAAATCAGTACCCAAATTACTGAACCTATTCAATAAATCCAAATTTTGAAACCTTGAAGTTTCTGTCCAAATAATCACTAAATACTAAGGCTTATTTTGTGTTGAGAACTACTTCATAGAAAGCTCTCCCTTCTGTCACAGCAGTGATCTGCAACAGAGCCTAACTTCAAAACAAAAGTTAAACACGGCAGTTATTATCCACATATGTACTTCACCAGCAGCGCAAACTATTCATGTTCAAAATCCATCTGTGAAAGTGGGTGAGGAATGTCACCTGGTACGCTTTTAAGATGTGTAAGTGTGAAAGGCACTGTTTTCATTTGGTGCAAGGTGGCTTTGTTGGGAGTCTTGAACAGAGAGAAAAAGTTCCTACTTTGTCACAATTAGGTCCACATTCTTACAATCACCTGGGCCCAAATTCCTTCACAGTAAAAGCTGGTGGGAGCCCATAGCAGCTACCACATACATCCTCCTTCTCTATCTTGTTGGCAGTCACCGAGGTCCCCCACTCCATATTATACACTAAGACTCCTTCATCTACTTGTGTTTGTTGCTGAACCCAGTGATTTTGTTGAGTTTCATATCTAAACTGTGAATAAATTAAAAATTAAAAACTAGGCTGCCGGGTTCCACTGCCTGCCTCACAAGTGCAAGGTTCCGAGTTCAATCCCCAGTACAAAAAAAAAAATTAAAAACTAGGAGCTTTACAAACTGAACAGTACTGGAAAAGCTGCTGGAAAAAATCTAATGGAATATAAGTTATACTTACTCGCAGAGAAGGATTCCATTTTCTAATCCAGTCCGAAAATCTTTATCACCAAAACTTCTGCCAGTTACTTGCTGGAAAAGAAGAAAAAGAGCATAAATTTTTATTTTTCAATTAGAACATTCAATATTTTTAAAAATATTCACAACCTTGAAAAAATTGGTGGCATTCCAAGAATGAGGAAAATCTGTTAAGCCTTAATTTCCTTTCCATGTGTAGCTTTGCCTAGATCAGCTAAAGTTAAATTTAGCCCACTTCTTTTGGAGCTCTTTTCCTATCTGGTGCTTTATAAAAATCTGTTTGTCCTGATAAGGATATGTTACTTGGCGGGGGGGGGGGGGGGCGGAATTTGACCACAGTAAGTCAAGGCCACGGGCTCTTCCATCAGAGACTCCAACCCACACACTATCAGGGAGCCCAAGAAAAGCACCTGCCTGAGGATAAAGTCTTGATTTACTTAAACCTCAGAGAGTTAGGGGAGGACAGATGCAGATCTGTAACCTTGAGAGACTAGCATAGAGACCTGAAGGTAAGGCCGCATTCATAAATAGCAGAGTGAGAAAGAGAAAACCCAAAAGCTAGGAAAGAATAATTGTCAGACAACACTGAACTGGTGGCCATTTGTGGTCCTCCGGCTCTCAGCTACAACTGGGGCATCAGGGAGACATTCGTTCATTCATTTGTTCATTCAATAAATTCTTATTCAGCACTACAAAATACCAGGTAAGTAGGCATACTATGAACTCAAGGAAACTCCTAACATGGCAAAATAAAAAGTTACCACTAATAGCCAATAAAAGAAATAAAACTGAACCATAGAAAACAGCATAGAAAGCAAAAGGGCAAAAAATAAGAGTACCCATAATGAACAGGAAAAGAGGACAAAGAACAGATGGAACAAATAAAACAAATAGATTATAGACTTAGGCCTAACCATATCAATAATCACATTACATATAAATTACCTACCAGCCCCAATTAAAAGACAGAGATTATCAGATTGGTTCAAAAAGTGAGACCTAACTATGCCTACAAATAAATGTGCACAATAGTAACATAAGCAGAGAGTGATAGAGTCAAAAGAACAGTGGGAGGGCTGGCTACATAGCCTCATGGTAGAGCACTTTTCTAGCATACATGAGGACCTAGGTTTGATCTCCAGTACTGCAAAAAAGAAAGACAAAGAGAGAGGAAGTAAAAGGATACATCATCCAAGCACCTAATCATAACAGAGCTGCAGTGGCTATATTCACATCAGACAAAGAAATTTCAGAACATCAAATAATATCAAGGATATAGTCATTGCACAATGATAAAAGGGTTAGCGGATCAGGAAGACATAACAATCCCAAATAAGTTCCTGTGCTGGAACCTTGGTCCCCAGTGTTGGGAGTTGGTGGGACCTCATGGAGTCCTTAGGTCACTGGAGGGATGGTTTTGGAAGGGACTGTGGACCACCACTCTCTCCCTGGATTCCTCTTTTGAGTTGCACACACCATCTACCAGGAAGTGACACAGTCCAGGAGAGGCCCTCATCAGAACTTGTGTCTTTCAGCGTCCCAAATGGCGTGCTAACTAAATCTCTTTTTTTTCTATAAAGTTAGCCTCCCTCAGGTGTTTTGTCATAGTAATGAGAAATGGACTAATACATATGCTAAACTAAGCCATCAATTCAGAATCACAAAGGGAAGCCCTTCCCCTGGAATCAGGAGTTTGGATGACCTGTCTCAATGAGCTCTCTCAGTAACATCTTTATGCTGTACTTATTATATGTACACAATGTCACATGTTATATAGTCTAACTATAAAGACTGCTAATTACCATTTCTCTTGTGATAGCACAAGTCATTGCAATTAACAGCTGCCTGGACCCAGTCACCAAGTCCACTTGCAGCGGAAGTGACCACAAGCTGAGGGCTCCCAGGAACCTTCCAGATAAAGAACCAACCCAGTCATCATGACAGATCACTCTCCAAAGATGCAAGGACAGGATGGGAAGCTGAGCAGAGCTTTAAAGAGAGCCTGTGATGGGGCCCTAGGATTCATGGTGGCTGGGAAGAGCCCAGGCTCAGAAACATCCGAGGGCCACCAGGTGAGAGTGGCATGAATGCCAGGCACACTTTATCATCTCCCCAAATCCTGCTCTCTCAATCAGTTCATCCTTGAAACTCCATCCTTTCAGTTGTTCAGCCCAAAAATCTTAGTCATGCTGACCCTTGTCTTTCACAACCAACCACACCCAGAAATAAATCTTGTTAAGGAAAATGTGGTATAGATACATAATGGAGTATTATGCAGCCACAAAGAAGGATAAACTCAGCTCATGTGTAGGAAAATGAATAGATCTTGACATCATGATGTTATAAGTAAAATAAACCAAACAGGGAATGTTGAATATCACATAATTTCTCATATGTGAGACACACAAAATATAAATAAAGAATAAAAGAAAGAAGAGACGGTAGGAAATAGGGAGACAGATTTTTTGGAGATACGGAAGAGATGAGGGGAAGGGGGAAGAGGGAAGGTTATGGGGCAAGGGTAAAAAATAAGATACTGTGTGTGTGTGTGTGTGTGTGTGTGTGTGCGCGCGCACGCCAATTCCCCAAAACAAATGTAATTTTTATGTATTATAAACATATACCAATTTTTTTAAAGGCTGCTTTTAAAAATCCTGTTGATTTCAACTTCAGATCTGAGGCAGAATCTGGCTGATTCTCACTACCTTCATTCTGCCATCCTTCTCCAAGCTGCTGACATCTCACTCTGGATATCTCAGGAGTCTCTTAACTGGCCTCCCTGCTTCCACCCTTGTCTCCCATCCATCTAGCCTCAAGCAGCAGGTAGAGTGAGCCTCTAAAGTCAGCTCAAGCCACCACTCCCCTCACAAGCCCAGAGAACCCCCTCTCACTCATCATAGCAGAATCCAAAGTTCTTACAGGTTCTTACCTAAAGGTGTTGAACATAATGGCCTTGTGTGTTTAATTATTAAATACACAAAAAGGGATGTAGGAATGCATGAACAGAAACTCCGGGGCACCCCAATCATATTAAAGGTGGGTATAACACACCTCCCCAGGCATGGGGACCCTCAGAACTTGTGCACACCTCTCTCTACTCCAGGGGAGCCTCAGGGGAACTTATGATGGCCATTATCTCATCAACTACTCTCTATGTGCTTTTCAGGAAAGCCCTATGCCAGATTCTTTTCAGCTTTATGGTTCAGGATTAATTCAGTTTAATTACTAAACAAAATATTTGTTGGAGAACCATGCACATTAAAATAGCCAATGAATGGCTAATTTATCAAAACCTTGATGGTGTTGAAGCTGGAAAAATCCTTCTTTCTGACTTAATAGAACAAAGGACCTCTAACGTGGCACCACACTGCTATATGCAAGTGATTATTGAGGAAGCTCATCTGCATCCAATTTCCTTTCCATGGGGCTCAAAGGTAATTCTGTTTCTGAGTTTGTCTACACCCATGGCTCTGCTCAAAACCATTCAAATAACTGAAATATGGAGAATTCTAAAAAGCCAGTGTAATAAACAAAACTGCACAACTTCATGGCAACAATTTTATGATGTGTTTATAATGTAACACATTGTATCTCACAATATTACATTCTGCTAATTACTTTATTACTATTATAATTATGCAACTGCTACAAAGAGTAAAAGTCTGCCAAGAAATAGCTCCTCAGCCTGATCACTACCATGTACATGAATGATATTTCAGAAATACTTTCATCAATCTTATGTTATTGAAAGCGATCTGTTAGACAAACTATAATCCACCAACAAACTAAGGGTCTGAAGAGCATTTTAAATAAATGTCAGCAATCCCCATAACAGTCTCTGGATTCAAGGGACTGAGATAAATTAGAAAATGGAATAGATTTTCACTTAACTTTTTAAAGACATAGATATTTTTCCCAAATTGTATAAAAGCAGGTACTTTTCAGAAGCTGTGATTTGCTCCTACAAACTGTTGTTCCAGTTCCATCCTCATGGACTTTGCCACCATGTATAGCCAGTGATCTCAGTGCTAAAACCACAATGCCTAACTATAAAGTAAAACAGCCTTTTTCTCCTCATTCGCTTTTCTTCTCTTTCTATATTGCTCCTCTCTCTCACTTCCCTGGGTAATTCCATCCAGTCTCGTGGCTCTTTATAGCACATACAGAAGGATAATTCACACCCTTATATATAGCACTGAACCCTCAAGTTCACAATCAGCTATCCAATTTCTCACCCAACGTTTCCACCTGGGTACCTAATAAATACTTCATATTGAACAAGATTAACATGTACTCATTGGCTTGAGCCACCAGTGGCACATGGATGACTGTCCCATCGGCTGGTGTGAGACAGAACTATTGAGTGGAACAAGCTGCTCGATGGGATAGTCATACATTTATAGCTCCATCATGAATATGCTAATACAAAAGCCTTCATGTCTGTCCGCTAATCTAACCTTTAGTCATCCCCACATCAATGAACAGCATTACCAACTCCCTCCCCCAATAAGAGACATATCCAAACCACTGCGAAGAGCAATGGAGTCTCTCCAAAATACAGCTTAGGTCCATCCCTTCTGTCTCTGTGTTATGACACTAGTCCAGGCCTCCATCATCTGTCAGCAAGACAACTACAGTAGCTGCCTGTATGGTCCTCACAAGTCACTAGCCACACAGCATCCAAGGATCTTGTTATAGATCCATCCATATCTCTTCTTTATACCAGAATATAGTCCAGGTTATAGGCACAACCCTTTATTTTATCCATGAGAAAGATAATGTCCTACAGATGGACTGGCCAAAGGTCATGTACATGGCTGGCCAGTGGCAAGGGTGAGACTAGGATCAGCTCTCCTCTGGCCAGCCAAGGGTGCACTGCCCACCACAATGCCATAGGCCCAAGTGGCCTTCCTGTGGTGGTTCCATCGATACATGTTCTTTAATTACTGTAGCTCCTTATATCTTTCCAGTTTGGGCTGGCAAAGAAGCAGCACGGAAGTCCAGGCTTGAGGTAATTTAATCAACATTATCAGACCCGATTCCCTCTCGCACCA